ACAGGCAGATCGTACTGTCAATCATCGGAAGCCCTCCCCGCTGAGGGGAGGGCTTCCGATGATTGCAGTGCTGAGCAGGCAGTGTGCGCCTGCGCACACCGGCCCGTGCGGCATTAGTCTTCCAACCACGCCACCAACCTGCCAAAATGCGTACGATTTTCGGCAGGTTTTCCAGCGCGCTTGGAAGAATAAAGTCGTACGACCTTACAGTAGAAGCAGTCGCACGCTGCCCATACACCTGCCGATTATTGTACGATAATCGGCAGGTGTATGGACACCTTTAGTGTATGTGTATATTAGGCCCCATTCACACCTGCGGTATATTTCAGGTGTGATTAGAGATTCCTGTGTCAGGAACTTGCGTTTTCCTGCAGCAGCAATCCCTAATCTGCCGTTTACAAGCGGCAACTATCATAAGATAAGAATTATCATAAGATTATTTAAGAGGGTGTGTTTAGGGGCGGAGTTAAGGCCGGGGCAGGGTAAGGGTTAGGTGGGGCAACTGGTGGCTAGTGACTCTTAAGGTCTGGCTAGTAGCTCAGGACTTGAAATTTTGAGCCCTGTTCAAAAGTACCTTATTCAATTGCATGGGCTGCCCTAATGCAGTGTCCGATATCATAGACAAAACTCTTTATTCACACTGCTCTGCTAAAGCATGATATTTTCAGGGATATTGCACTTCTTAGCCAGGTAGAGAATAGTGATAGTCCCAAGGACACTGCTGAGCCAGGTATAGATGAGTGATATTTCCAGGAGGCCTGCTTTAGCAAGCCAGTTATGCAGTAATACGCCCCTAAGCCTGGTCCTAAGCCAGGTTGGGAAAGTGATATTTGCCGAGAAATTTTCTTACTTAAAAAAGAATTGGGATGGTTTTTTCTGGAGACACTGCACTGCTGAGCCATGGACATGATATTTTCAAGAACACTACATTGCTATAACACCCACCTCACCACTTGCCCCCTGGACCCTGTTCCCTCAAAACTACTTCGGTCACCCTCATACTCTATCCTACACTCTCTTACTCACATTTTCAATCTCTCACTTTCTACTGGAATCTTTCCTACCCCTCTTAAACATGCACTAGTCACCCCAATACCCAAAAAACACAGGAATGGAAGAGTGACATTTTTGTTCAAAATAGTTACATAGGTTAAAAAAAGACATTCATTTCTTTAAACCAGAATATGAAAAAGGTACAGGAATGATATAATTGATGATATAATTTGTTCTAAAAGGGAAAACATTCACAATCCCTGTGTTTTTTATTATAAATATTAAAGGTCCTGGAATAAAAAAATATTTCCCTTCCTGCTCCACCCACCTCCTAGCAAATGAATAATTAAAAGCCCCAGTTTCTTATGTGATCCTGTGATCAAATGACAGACGGTTTCCCACTTTCTTTAGGTCTTTTACAGGATCCTTTAGTCTAAAGCTAGGTACACACGGATCGAATTGCAGCCAATTCAGTAAGAATCGGCCAGAATTCGATCCATGGGTGACCCTATCCCTTCGACAAAAGTCGATCAGGCACACGCAGTAAAATCTGCAAACACTGTTTGGGTATTTTAAGCTTCACTCTTTAAACTGTGCTGTAGGAAATACATGTTATACCACTAATTATCATACCATTAGCATTTTTAAATCCCATCATATTCAAGGAATGGACACTTTTGCTAGTATAGAGTAAAATGAGGATTTACAAATGTTCCTTGCTCTGTATGTTGAATTGAAACTGTATCAGCCATGTTTAGTTGTTGCATCCTTTTGTTTAACTCATTTTATGTATTTCATAGAAGAGGAAACTAACATGGCTGTCCGAGATCGCGGTCTTTATTACTACCGACTTTTGTCGTCTGGAGTGATTGAAGTGATGAAAGTTCTCAGCGGTCCAAAATCAGACCCATCATTGGGCATTTTGGTTGATAGAACAGAGCAACCAATTAACAGCTGGGTGAAAAATTTCAACAACCTGACTCCTTTATGTGACAAGAAGCATCGGGAAAAACTTTTTGCCAGTCTCGCTAAATGTGAACTGTCCTCTGTTGCAAAACAGCTTGTAGAGGGTAGGTTCAATATTATAAACACATTTTGCATTGTTTTATCCCTGGTGCTGGTAACACTGGGGCCTTGTTCACACCAAATGCAGAGCAGATCCGGTCAGGTTTCTGCACACGCACGCTAGTCTGTTAGACGTGTTTTTGACACATTTTTGATGCGTTCCGGGCTCTTTTTGGTAAAAAATAAATAAATATATATATATATATATATATTTTCTTTTTTATGTTTAAAATGGGCTTTATGTGTTCCAGGCATTGGCATGCGTTTTTGATGCGTTCCAGAGCAGATCCAGAGCAGGTAAAATAGGGCCTGCTGCAGTTTTTTCACCTGCTCTGAATCTGCTCTGCAACTGCACGCTGCGATGTGAACTGGAGCAAAAAATACCATTGGAATACATTGGACGCAGCTTTGATCCGGCTGCACCTGCTCTGCTCTGGATCTGCTCCGCGCTTGGTGTAAACAAGCCCTTAGACAAATCTGTAGGTTTTACAGCTGTGAATTGTGAAATATACCCTATGGTAAACCAAATCTTTGGGCCCCACAAAAAAGGCACTACTAAATACTGAATATGGTTGACTCTCATTGTTTTAATATAGTCTCCAAGGGACAGATGTATCCCATATCCCAGTTAGGAGAGTACTATGGCCAAACCTTTTTCTTGGCTATAATTCTCTTTTGTATTACTGGAGTTCATTTACTAATGTCCCCTGTGACCCAAAGTCACTCCCCGCTATATACTGATAGCACAGAGCTGCGATGCAGCCAGAAAAGATCCAGACAACATTGTCAGGATCCACCCTGCTGCCTGATTGACAGCTGGTTTTGCCTCTCTAGAGCCAGTTCCAGCTGTGCCCGCCCCCTTCCCCGTCTGTCCCTCTAGTGAGTGCTGATAGTCACCACTCTCTGCAGGGAGAAGTCCTGAGCTGAGTAATCGGCTGTTTGTGATCCCTCAGTTCTAGACTTATAGAGCCGGCATATGACAGCTGCAGTGTCACATACCAGCTCAAACTATTGGGAAGAGCACATTTTACTCTCCCGATACATTTCCTTTAAGACTGAGCAATTAGAATGTAGAACTTAGACTTGGAGAGATAAGGCCAACACTAGGAGCCAGTCAGGTGTGCTATATGCTGACAAGGGCAGAAAGCAGATGATGAGCTCATCAGTCTATTGCTTTTCAATTACTGTCCCTATACAAAGTTGGAGCAGGGAGCCAGCTATATTTCTTAACAAGATTAGAGAAAAGGCAGGTCACCAACCACGTATTCGATGTTCAGACACTGCATAGAAGTCTCTTATACTAAGCCTGTTATTTATAGAACTCCACTTCTCAAGCACATTTACACATACAGGTGAAACTCGAATAATTAGAATATCGTGCAAAGTTAATTTCTTTCACTAATGCAACTTAAAAGGTGAAACTAATATATGAGATAGACTCATTACATGCAAAGCAAGATAGTTCAAGCCGTGATTTGTCATAATTGTGATGATTATGGCTTACAGCTCATGAAAACCCCAAGAACCCCAAATCCACAACCTCAAAAAAGTAGATTATTACATGCAATCAATAAAACAAGGATTGTACATAGAACAATATCGGACCTCTGAAAAGTACAAGCATGCATATGTACTCAGTACTTGGTTTGGGCCCCTTTTGCAGCACTTACTGCAATTACTTTTGCACGATATTCTAATTATTCGAGTTTCACCTGTAGAAGTAAGTGACTTACAGCAACTCATCACAAGACTCAGTCCGACGCTTCAGTCAGACAAAGCCAGCCACGAGGCAGACTACTACTGCTGTGCTGTCTCTTTGAGGGCTTGTTCCCACCATATACAGTGCGTTCCAGCGTGGTTAGCTGCTTTATCGCATCCCGGCCGGCTTCCTGCGTTCAGGAGCAGGAGAGGGCATGGATCTGCATTGAAAATCAATGGCAATGCAGCCATGCCCCCCGCCCGCAGTATGATCGCCTGCACCAGAACGCGTTGCATATCAATGCCTGCGTTCCGGTCCAGTGCAATCTGCATGCACTATTTTTTCAGATTGCACTGGACTGGAACGCAGGCATTGATGTGCCACGTGTTCTGGTGAGGGCGATTGCACTGCGAGCGGGGGACATGGCTGTGGTGCCAATGGCTTCAATGCACCGCCACTCCCCTGAACGATGGAAGCCAGCCGGGATGCGCTAAAGTGCATTCCAGCAGCTAACCGCTCTGGAACGCACTATATTGTGTGAACAAGCCCTAAATAAGCTCATTGGGAATTGTTTGTGTTTGCTATCTATTAAAGAAATCATTTGTGAATCCCCCAGTGAACATTATGCATGTAGCACCCTTTTAGATCTGTGCTTTTGTTTCTAACTAAAGTACATTTTTATGACTGCCAGTGCTGGCTGTAGCACCATCTCAGGCTGAAGCGCAAACTATGGGCATTCCAATAAGCGGGAAAATCATGGACCCACATGGGAAGTTAAGTGAGCTATGATTTTCTTTTAGTGTTAAGTACATCAAGGTATTAATCTGTTTTATTTACCCGTAGATCTGCATTCACCTGAGAATTCCAAAGTAGCCAAAGAACCTATTGACCTAATCACTTTAGTTAGTGACATTACAATAACTCCAGAGTTGTTTGAGAAAAAATGGATTTCTACAACTACAGAGCTATGCTTGAATATTGAATGGAAGCAGGAGGCAGAACCAGACCTTCTACAGACATCTCTTCATGTGCTGAATATTTATACCATAGCTAAGAGCAAAGCTGGCCCACAGCCCTGGAAATCATATCTCTATGCACAGGACAGTAATGGAAATATGTTTCTTGTGGAATTATTACTCAGCACCAATCCACCTTTCCTTAAAGCTGCAATTAAACAGGATACAGATGATAAAGATACACTAACCAACTTTGTAAGACTTCTGAAAAGTGCAGTATTAACAGTTCTGGAACTGACCGGGTAATGATTTTAAGACTTATGATGATGGAAGGCCAACATAGAAAATGAGGCAATGTTAATGTGTCAAATCACTTGTCAGCTGTAGTTCCAGGTTCTTAATGGTTCAGATTAATGGGCAATATGCTTCAGCGGCACTTATGGATTCGTTTGAAACCAAACGTTTACAAAAATAAAGGATTTTTATAGCCAAGGAAGCAGATACACAGTTGCAGGTTTTTAAGGCATTACACATTACAACTTTTTAAGGCAACAAAAAAGAAATAAGCCAAATATTTGTGTTTATGTAAGTACTGTATACATGTATATATTATTATATTTATCAATTATCTTGTATATTAAAAAAATTACCCCAAAGGGCTTGCTTTTCTTTGTCACACTAGTCATATCACCTGATTTAAGTGTTTGTAACTAGAGGCTGAAGTTAATGGAAACATTTCTTGTTGGCTATAGCGGCCTGTCGAACTTTCTGCAAGCCACGTCTGAAAATGAAACAAGGATTTCAACTAGTTGAAAGGGTAATACATAACTTTTATGTCAGCAAAACTATCATACACCAGCCACCATCAGTCCGACTTACTGCATATTGTACAAGGAACTCGTATAAAATAACCCGTCACCTTTACACAGTGAAGGTTGGCATTTAAGGTTCAATTTTTCAGAATTGGTGCCATTTACAACCAATCAAATTCCAACTGGCAGCTTTTATATGCAGGGTTGACAGTAGCCCACTGTGTGTTTATAGTACTGCTAAAAAGCACATGCGATGACCAGTACAATTAAATCACTGTAGTTCAGAATTCTATAGTGTATCTCAGTCGGGGAACCACATTCATATACCAAGAGTGGGTTGTATAAATGAACATGAAGTGTTTTCCGGCATCATTATGTCTGTACCCTGACAAAGGGACCCTGTGTGGAACCGAAACATTGGGGGCTGTGATATATTAAAATAAAGAGCTATTTTTACTGAAGATTCTGGTGATGTGCTGGCAACTTCTTAAGATGGCCATACACCTTTTTAGATTTTTTTTTTTTCCTATCAGCCTATGGTCAGATGGAAAAAGTGCAAGTCCTTCGTCTAAGTTAAACTATGTGGATGGAGAAATCTCCAACTGGGCCAAGCTTCAGTATCTTGTTAGCCGGCCCTGCTGGCTGTCAAAATTCCTTTACGATCTGATTAAATGCTGGCATTGTTCAGGTGTTTTGAGAGCCAGCAGGGCCGACTAGCAACATACCAAAGCTTGGCCCAGTGGGAGATTTCTCTATGCACACAGTTTAGCATAGATGGAGGAATCTGTTGCACTTTTTCCATCTAACCATAGGCTGATAGAAAAAAAATCTATAGGTGTACGGCCAGCTTTAGGATTACATTTTCTGAAAATGACGCCATCCATTTAGCTGCTTTAATGATGCGTTGAGGCACCTGGTGTGCAGTTGATCACCAGATTGGATTCTCTGTTCAGATCATGATAAAAGCAATATGCACTCTGTAAGGGACATACCAAGCACATTGGGCATGCTAATAGCAACATAAACGCAAAGGGGCATACTAACTCAGACATGTTCAACAAATGGAGCACTCTGCCAGAAACATGCCTACCTGGTGAATTGGATGTACAGTGAGCACTTTGCAAGGGGCTTGCTGAACAAACTTAGCACTATGCCAGAGGAAATCTCATCATCCACAGTACTCGTTCATGAGCACACTGCACAGGACATGCTGAGCACAAGGAACACTGCCAAGGACAGTCTGAGCATATTGCAAATGCTGACAGGCACATGCTGATATATGGAATTCTCTGCCAGGACTTTAACAAAAGGGTATTTTTTCAAAGACATGCTAAGCACAAGGGGTACTCTTGCCAGGAACATATTAAACCAATAAATACCTTGCGCCAATATAATCTAAAAACCTAAGAGCTACAAAGCACTCAAAAGAACACCCAAGTAAGTGATAGTCTACATGAAACGCAATAGAACGATATAGTGCCAAGCTACAATCAAAACAATGTGACTATACTGTATATGCAATTGTAATACAATGTGTCAAAAATTGAAAACAGTAAAATCAAACATTGATACAAACTAAGTATTTGTAACAAGTGTAAAGTCCAAAGAGAAATGAAGATTCAATGTCTGAAATGATTATAATGCTTAAGGGTAAGGAATCTACATATCAGGAGACTTCACACATCCTGAGGTGTCTTTAGTGTTAACTCTTTTCAGTGATGCTCTCACCTTCTCCTGCGACCTAATAAATAGGTCTCATAACGCTGATCCCTTTCCCCACTGGGACACCCCTCACTGTGCAGTTGACAACGATTGAGTGTCCGGTGGTACTACTCTGATGTTTGCCACGATGACTCCTATTTCAAGCTCTGTATATGCTCTATACAGCACAGATCCCTCTGGTCTATAAGCATCTACAGCCATTTGAATGTTAAATCTTAGCGGGCTCTCCCCACGATGCGGTATCATACATTAAAACAAGACCACACCATAGTGCACACCAATATAAACACTTAAAAACCTTTATTAAAAAACCTTGCTCACAAAAATATGCAGTGATAGAACTCCACCAGAGTTCTCTCAGACGTGGGAGTAGACGGAGGTGCAGTAGCACGGAAGCTTTCACGGTTTGAGCGGTGTTTATATCTGCTTACTGTTGGACTCTATCACTGCATAATTTTGTGAGTAAATTATTTTAATAAAGGGTTCTTAGCGATAGAGATGCTAAGAGCACCGGACTCCAGCTTCATGTCTGTAAGGTACTGGCCGTGGTCTGGTTGGATCTCAGCTACAGACAGTAATGCACCATGGAATAAGTAGTAACAGGACTAAATTGTGGCAATCAAAAGCAGTGTTTTAATCCAAGTAAAGTAATTTAGCAACAATCTGATAACAGCAGTTAACATGCAGTGTTTGTAATACAGGTAAAGTCACATAGCAACAACCTGATAAGCAGGGAACATGCAGTGTTTGTAATCCAGGTAAAGTCTATGAGCAGGTAATAGTAATGGTTAAAACAACCAGCAATGATTAATGGAAGTTCACCAGCTGGCCATAGGACACAGTGAATTGAGGTAATGGTTACCTGCCGGTTAGAGGCTGCCTGTGGCAGTATGCTGTGGTAGGAATCAGCTGTCCCAAGTGGGTTGCAGGACAGAGTCCTGAGAAGTAGTGTGGGGATTTAGGAGATCCAGACGAGGATTGTCGTCGGTAGGTCGGCGTCTTCCTCCTTGCACAGACACCGGCCCACTGTGCAATCGTGGCTTAAAACAGCTGAGGGGGCGGAGCCAGCGAGCTCCGCACCTGGACAGGAGATCAGGCCTGTATGTTACAATGTCTGTCAGTACCTTAAATTCTGGAAGACCGATCATATCAACAGCATATTGTTTAATACACGCCAAAAAGTTAATGCTGATGTTCTAGCATGTATAACATTTCTGTTTCAGTGCAGAAAAAGGCATCCGAATTGTTTTGCCCTTTTTATCTACTTAGCTATACAGCAGACACTAAAGGTGCCCATACACTTTACAACCCTCGCAAGACTTTTGTCTTGCGAGGGTTGTAAAGTACTTAAAAAAACGTACGATCTGCCCACCTTGGACAGGCAGATCGTACTTGCGATCATCGCAAGCCCGCCCCCCTGAGGGGCGGGCTTAGATGACTGTAATGAAGGGCGGGCTTACGATGACTGCAAACGGGCAGTGTGCAGCACTAACTCGCCGAGAATCATACGATTCCCGGCAGGTTTTATAGCATGCTGGTTCGACGGAAGACGTGCGACCGTACAGTAGAAACGGTCGCACGCCTTCCATACACTGCACGATTCTCGTACGATCGCGGAATTTCCCGCGATTCTCGTACGAGAATCGTGCAGTGTATGGGCACCTTAAGAAGCCTCATGGAGAAAGGGGAAGATCAGGAAATTCTAGTTGGCAGATTTTTTTTTTCACCCTGCTGCACAGAAATTCTCATTGTACAATATGTTAAAGAGTTAGGGGGTTATATACTAAAGAGCCGAAGGATATATGACCCAAAGGATTAGCTTTGTCTAATCCTGTGGGCCACTTTGGCTGCCGGAGCCCTTCGTTTCAGCCAAACAGAAGGGCTGCTGTACGGGCTATTCACAATAGCATATGCTTCGGCCCAGTTGAGCCGAACACACACCCGAAGCGGGTAGAATGGTCTGTCGAAGCAGAGCGTTCTCCCCGCAAATGTAAACAATTAAAAGAAAAAAAAAACGGTGCAGGGTCCCTCTTCCGGTCCATACCAGACCCTTTAGTTAGTTTAGTTTAGTTTCCCGGTAGGAAAGGAAAGTTAAGAGGGACCCCAATTTAAAAAGTAAAAATAAAAAAAGTAAGTTTTCAGGGTCTCCCCTGGAAAAGCACCTTTTCCCCATGCCGATGAGAACAAGGGCCTCTTCTGCCACAACCCTGACCCGGTGGTTGTGAGAGTCTGCAGGCAGGGGGGCTTATCTGCATCGGGGTACCCCTTTAATATAGGGGGCACTCAGATGCTGTGTAAAAGTGATTGAAACGTGCTGTATGGATCTCACTACACCAATAAATATAAGTGTCAAAGTAAAATAGAAACAAAGTCCGCTGCCGTGCCAACCACAATGTGTACATTTCTTAAGCTCTTGCACCGCGCTGAACTATAATGTTACACATCAAACAAAGTGTCTTAAATAATTCATATAAATAAATACTCCAATAAATCAAGTGAAATTGGTTCAGCGTATAAAACTGTACAACACTGGAATATATCAAATCCAGCCAAGTATCTAAAATCCAAATAATCAAACTCCAATGTAAATAGTGTGAATAGATAATGAAGAGATATAAGTTATAAATTGATAATTAAGTTCTTGTGTAGATCCCGTGTAGAGATTACATAGTGTCCAATACTTCCAACTGTGTTTAAATGAAAGTCTATTTCATATTTTACACTCTGGAATAAGTGCCCACAAAACTATCACAAGATGTAATCCTTTAGTAATCGATCTCCGATATAGTGAAAAATAAAT